AAGAAAGAATACAATGGCATTTTTAAAATTATTTTTTTTAACTTGGTTGTCGGCACATGTCTATCTTTGGACGTATTTTGTTTCTAATTTTTTCATCATCGACCTCTCGGTGTATCATTCTCGTCTCCATGTTTCTGCTGATGACACAACGATTTAATCCTATCTTAGCGATAAGTCTAATAGGTTTGATAAGTTCAAATTAACAGTGGAGAGCCGAGTTCGAATTCCAGTCGGATCCATTACATTCATTTATTCCTGTCTTAATGATAAGCCTGCTAGGCTCGATAGCATCAAATTGTCAACTGATCTAAAAGAAAAAAAAAACGACAGTCTGTTGTTATCTGAGGCAAGGTACGTCTTGTTCATTTTAACACTTCTAAAACGAAACTGCACTCTTTTAAACGCCTGAGAGAACTCTTTCGTTCATCTATCAGGAATGCTTGATGGCAACCAACTGGAGAATGGATCTGTTTTCAGCTGACATGATTTACTTCTATCTTAATGGTAAATCTAATAGGTTTGATAAGTTTAAATTAACAGCTGACCTCAAAAATGACCTGCAATATATTAACGATGGCAAGAAATGGTTGTTAATTTTAAGCCATCTGCCAAACGAAACTGCTCCCTTTTAATCGTCTTAGTGAAGCATTTTTTGTCAATAACCTCCGATGAATTAGCGTTCCAAGCTAGTCATTAGTCCTCTAATGCCTACTGGAACACCGTTTCTAGCCATGGGATCACTGCTTCTACCCTGTCTTTTGTCCATTAATCCCCTATGGATCATCGTTTCTACCAACATTTTGTCATTAATCCTCTATGGACTATTGAGGATTAAAAGACATGATTAGGCAGAAAACAATGATCCAAAATAAATTACAGAACAAATAGAAAATAGATCCCATGGGAATAACCAGATATAAAGATTGTGGTAGAAACAGTGCCATCGGTTTTCTTTAGCAGAGAAAGTAAAATTCTACGAGACTGTAATAATAAGAGTTCACCTAATCAAACCCAAAAGACAAGAATCTGTCAATTAATGGCAGTGCTTGTTCCAGCAGACCCATGCCAAGATACTGAAAAGAAATTAAAAATAATCAAAGAACGGTAGACACAACTCATATGGAAACTAGAATACAAACAAAGCATATAATGATTTTGCTCTCTCAATAAAACTGGCTTTGATTACTGCTTACTAACAATGGTTAATTTTCAAATGTACACTCAACGACGAAATTATTCGTACACCCATCAATTTGGAATATTTTTATCCATTTCTCCGATTCCAATCAGATAAAGGAATATAAAACTCAGTTTTCAGAACAATCGGTTAAATACATCAGATATGACAGGCAAATTATGCAAAATAGTAAGTAAAAGCCAAAATTATTCGTACAGTATGAATAATAGAAAAAAAAACTGAACAATTTTCACAATATTAATAGTCACTATCATGGCCTCTCATCTTTATAACTTGCTGCAATTATTTTCTAAAGATATTGGTGAAATTGGAAGAAGTCTTTTCTAGGATTTCTAGGATTTTCTTCCATTCTTCAATGGTTACAAGTTCTAATTCCTGAAGGTTTTTGGTGATATTACACCTTTCAATTCTTGCCATAGATTTTCAATAGGATTCAAATCAGGATTGATTGAAGGCCATAGTAGAACAATAATCTTCTTTTTCTGAACCCAAGCAGTGACTGATTTAGACGTATGTTTGCGACCATTATCTTGCTGGAAAGTCATTTTGCGCTGATAGTTGTAGATTTTCATCCAGAATTTTGATATCGTCTGCAGATTTCATTATTCTTCTCATTGCAATTAATTGCATCATAGGGGCATTAGATTCTGAGAAATGGATAAAAATATCAAAAATTGATGGGTGTGCGAATAATTTCGTCGTTAACTGTACAAAATTCAAAGGTAGTGCTGAAAATTATCAAAAAATTATATGACAGAATTTGTTGTTTTTATTAAGTTCATAGCCTCGGTAAAAGTAATGTGTAAGCATATAAAATCCTTAAAGTCAATTAGTAGTCAAGATAAATAATCAAAAAGATTTATATGTACTAATTCAAAAAAGGTAGGTACGACTAAATTACAGTCGATGATAATTTTATTTTTTTTCTCTTCCAGTAAAAGATTTCGTTGTAAAGATAATGATGGATGTTATCAAGGTGAATATTGTAATATATTGAAAAAAATCGTAACTGGTACAAAACAGCATGAAATATTGTTTATTTATTTATGAATTTCTGGGTATTTTATTTTATTTTTTATTAAAAAAAAATGTTACTCCCATAGAGAAATTAAAACAAATTGGAAAATTTCTAGATATAGAGTACAATATTCGTTCCTAAACAACGGCATCGACAGTAAAAGAACTGGGGCACCAGAAGTGACAACAGCCGCTGAAGATAAACATTTGGTCATTGAGCGAAAAAGTAATAGAATGAAAACTGCTCCGGGGTTGGCAGCTGGAGTTAATTTTCTCTCGGTATCAACTGTGAAAAATCGACTGAGATCAACGGAGCGCAGGGACGGAACAGCCATAAAGAAGACAATGTTACGAAAGGTGAATGCGTAAAAAAGACTTTTATGGGGGAAAAACATAAAAAGAAAAATTGGACATTGAAAGAGTGGCAAAATCTATTGTGGACAGACGAGTCCAAATTTGAAGTCTTCGGTAGTAAGAGGAGAATTTATGTGTGTAGAACGTCAGGAGAAAGGCTGAATGACATAAGCATGGTAGTGGGTCTTTTATGGTATGGGCGTATTTTTTGGGGGAGGTGGGGTGGAGGCTGAAGATTTTATTCAGGTCAAGGGAATCACGAAAAAAATCAATATGTTTCGATTTTGTAAAGACCATCAGGTTTATGCATAATTAAAAAAAAATGTGGTTAATTTGCAGTGTAAGATCTGCATTCAGTTCGTATTAAAAATTTCCAGAATATTTACATTTATATGTAATTCTACATGTTCCATTCGAATCTGGCTTGATAAATTTGATAAATTCCACCGTTTTGGAGTTATCGATAGTAAAAGTTCGGATTCATTCGCGTCGTTTCTGGCAGCCATTACTCTCGTTCTTTGTATACATTCGCTGCGAAAAGCTAAACGCGGAAAACCACGGAAAGCTAAGCGCGGAACTGATCTTTCTTGTTTTAATTATAGCGCACGAGAACTATTTACGTAGACGCGCTCAGTTTGCGCAATGATACCTACACTGATAGCTATTCTGCAGCGAATGTAGCCAAAGAACGCCAGTAATAGCTGCCCGCGACGTGAAAGAATCCGAACTTCCACTGTCGATAACTCCAAAACGGTAGATTTTATCAAATTTATCAAACTAGATTCGAATGGAACATGTATAATTACACATGAAAGTAAGTATTCTGGAAGTTTTTAATGCGAACTGAGTGCGGGTATTACACTGAAAATTAACCAAAAAATCCACTTTTCAACATGACAACGATCCAAAACACGCGTTTAAATTATGTCAAAATTAGCTCAGAATCAAAAAATGGAACAACATTTTGGAAATGATAACTTGGCCTCCTGAATAGTCTGACCTCCCTCCCCTTGAATCAGTATAGTAAAAATTGGATAGGAGAGTCCGAAGAGAATAAATACCCAAAGGGTGAGAGTGAGCTTTTACATTGTCTGAAGAATACTTGGAAAGGTGTGCCATCTATTTTGTTTTTCAGAAACTGTTGAAAAGAATAACAAAAAATTGTAAAGCATTAATTCTGGCAGGTAGATGCATTCTTTTTTTAATCGTTTTTATTTATTTTTTTAATTTCGAAGTAATTTGCACAAATTAGCAAAATCGAATCATCTAAGCATTGTAGTGAGAGCTCAAACTGAAATTTTATTTAAAAAAAGCTACTCTCATAGACAAATTGCCACAAAAGTTAACATTTCTAGACATGGAATGAGCTTTTTCAGTCCAAGCAGTAATTCAGGTAGGTGGAGGTATTATTAACGAAAAAAATATGATGCTGTTATATAATAATTTTTATAGTTAAGTGATTTTTATGTCAAAATAAGAGTAAATACACTATAGTTACTAAAATACTATTTTTCACTGTAAGAAATACAAAATATATCATTTTACGTTTTGCAGGTTGGCTTCAAACTTCATGTTTGCTTATTTTTATCATAACCTTTTCATATTCACTAATATTTTTCCGTATATTACAATTAAATAACGCAAGAAATTATTCAATTTTAATATACGGAAAAAATATTCTAGAATATGAAAGGATTGTGATAAAAATGTTTGTAATTTATTCAGTTAGACATGCCTAAATGAGAATTTGTTGCCTAAATATACACACGCACCCATACAACAAACAATGGAAATTAATTTTTCCATATTTCTGCGCAGTCAGAACTTTTGCAAAGCATTCCAGACGAAAAGGCATATCGCCTTTCTTAATCTAATCGAAAATAGATCAATCAGTTAAGCCATGGGACACACTATCATTTGTAGACATCAAGTTATTGATTTGCATGAAGAGACATTGTCATCTTAGGGAAATATAAAGCACTTTGGTCAATGACAAACGTGGCTTTAACATCCTTTTTAAAAAGAACGGACCACAATGCCGGTCAAATGAAAGAGTTATTTGAACCGATCTAATTGCAACACAAAGTTATATCGTCGACAATTAGCGGCCATGCAATCTGGCGCCATAAGCATGGCTGTCAATACTGCGTATGCGTGGGAGAAATCGCAAAAGACTACCTTCCTGCCTTCTTCTGAATTCTGGTAGAAATTGATTTTTGCCCGAGTGTATCTATTTATTGTTTTACTTTTCTGGACGATAGAAGAATTGGTGTCAATTGGGATAATAGGAAAGAATTAAGAGGAAAATAAAATACTAGAGATTGAAAATAAGGAAATAAAAAAAAAAAACATGCAAGGGTAGAAATAAATAAAGAAAGATATAGAGAGAAACGGTGGGATGAGGAGGAAAGGAATAAAAATAAATAATTTATCAGAGGAGAAAGAAGGAATGAAAGAAAGAAAGAAAGAAAGAAAGAAAGAAAGAAATTATAAGGATTGAAAGCAAGAAAAAGAAAATGGAGGAAGAAGGAATAAAAGGAACGAAAGAAAGAAAAAGAGTTAAAGAAAAGGAAGACGAAAAAGAAGAAATAATTAGTGTAGAAAGAAAGAAAGAAAGAAAGAAAGAAAGAAGTAAAATAGAGTAAAAAGAAATACATGAGAGTAAAAGGAAAGAAAAATTAATAATGCTTTTTTGACAGAATAAAGAAAAAGAAGGAATACATTATGTAGAAAGAAAAAAGGAAAAAAAAGAAGAAAGACAGAAAGAAAGAAAGGAAGAAAGAAAGAAGAGGAATAAAAAGAACGAATGCATCCAGGTAGAAAGAAAGAAAGAAAGCAAGAAGGAAAGATAGAAAGAAGGAAAGATAGAAAGAAGGAAAGATCGAAAGAAAAATTAATAAATGAGAACAGAAAGAAAGAAAGAAAAGAATCAAGAAAAAAGAATACCTGAGATTAGAAAGCAAAAAGAAAGAAAAAAGAATGAAAGAATAATAATGTATTTGTTGAAAGAATAAAGAAACAGAATGAATACATGAAATAGAAAGAAAAAAGGATAAGGAAAGAACGAAAGAAAGAAAAAAGAAAGAAAGAAAAAAGAAAGAAAGAAAGAAGAGGAAAAAAGAACGAATGAATGAGAGTAGAAAGAAAGAAAGTATGAGAGGGAATAAAGAAAAAGGAATGCGTGAGAGTGGAAAGAAAGAAAGAAAGAAGAGGAATAAAAAAAGAAAAATACATAAGAATAGAAAGAATAAAGAAAAAGAAAGAATATATCATTGAAGAAAGAAAGAAGTGGATTAGGGAAAAAAGAATACATAGGAGTAGAAAGAAAGAATGAAAGAATACATAAGAATAGAAAGAATGAAAGAATATAAATGAATAGAAAGAATGAAAGAATACATAAGAGTAGAAAGAAAGAATGAAAGAATACATAAGAATAGAAAGAAAGAATGAAAGAATATAAATGAATAGAAAGAATGAAAGAATACATAAGAGTAGAAAGAAAGAATGAAAAAATACATATGAGTAGAAAGAAAGAATGAAATAATACATAAGAATAGAAAGAAAGAATGAAAGAATAGATAAGAATAGAAAGAATGAAAGAATATAAATGAATAGAAAGAATGAAAGAATACATAAGAGTAGAAAGAAAGAATGAAGGAATACATAAGAGTAGAAAGAAAGAATGAAAGAATACATAAGAATAGAAAGAATGAAAGAATATAAATGAATAGAGAGAATGAAAGAATACATAAGAGTAGAAAGAAAGAATGAAAGAATACATAAGAGTAGAATGAAAGAATGAAAGAATACATAAGAATAGAAAGAATGAAAGAATAAAAATGAATAGAGAGAATGAAAGAATACATAAGAGTAGAAAGAAAGAATGAAAGAATACATAAGAATAGAAAGAATGAAAGAATATAAATGAATAGAGAGAATGAAAGAATACATAAGTGTAGAAAGAAAGAATGAAAGAATACATAAGAGTAGAATGAAAGAATGAAAGAATACATAAGAATAGAAAGAATGAAAGAATATAAATGAATAGAGAGAATGAAAGAATACATAAGAGTAGAAAGAAAGAATGAAAAAATACATAAGAGTAGAAAGAAAGAATGAAAGAATACATAAGAATAGAAAGAATGAAAGAATATAAATGAATAGCGAGAATGAAAGAATACATAAGAGTAGAAAGAAAGAATGAAAGAATACATAAGAGTAGAAAGAGAGAATGAAAGAATACATAAGAGTAGAATGAAAGAATGAAAATATACATAAGATTAGAATGAAAGAATACATAAGAGTAGAAAGAAAGAATGAAAAAATACATAAGAGTAGAAAGAAAGAATGAAAGAATACATAAGAATAGAAAGAATGAAAGAATATAAATGAATAGAAAGAATGAAAGAATACATAAGAGTAGAAAGAAAGAAGGAAAGAATACATAAGAGTAGAATGAAAGAATGAAAGAATACATAAGAATAGAAAGAATGAAAGAATATAAATGAATAGAGAGAATGAAAGAATACATAAGAGTAGAATGAAAGAATGAAAATATACATGAGATTAGAATGAAAGAATACATAAGAGTAGAAAGAAAGAATGAAGGAATACATAAGAGTAGAAAGAAAGAATGAAAGAATACATAAGAATAGAAAGAATGAAAGAATATAAATGAATAGAGAGAATGAAAGAATACATAAGAGTAGAAAGAAAGAATGAAAGAATACTTAAGAGTAGAATGAAAGAAGGAAAGAATACATAAGAATAGAAAGAATGAAATAATACATAAGAATAGAAAGAATGAAAGAATACATAAGAGTAGAAAGAGAGAATGAAAGAATACATAAGAATAGAAAGAATGAAAGAATATAAATGAATAGAAAGAATGAAAGAATACATAAGAGTAGAAAGAAAGAATGAAAGAATACATAAGTAGAAAGAAAGAATGAAAGAATAGAATAGAAAGAATGAAAGAATACAAAGAATAGAAAGAATGAAAGAATATAAATGAATAGAAAGAATGAAAGAATACATAAGAATAGAAAGAAAAAGAATATGAAAAAAGAATGAAATAATAAGAGTAGAAAGAAAGAATGAAAGAATACATAAGAATAGAAAGAATGAAAGAATATAAATGAATAGAAAGAATGAAAGAATACATAAGAGTAGAAAGAAAAGAATGAAAGAATACATAAGAATAGAAAGAATGAAAGAATATAAATGAATAGAAAGAATGAAAGAATACATAAGAGTAGAAAAAAAGAATGAAAGAATACATAAGAATAGAAAGAATGAAAGAATATAAATGAATAGAAAGAATGAAAGAATACATAAGAGTAGAAAGAAAGAATGAAAGAATACATAAGAATAGAAAGAATGAATGAATATAAAAGAATAGAAAGAATGAATGAATACAAAAGAATAGAAAGAATGAAAGAATACATAATAGCAGAATAGAAAGAATGAAAAAATACATAATAATAGAAAAGAAAGAATAAAGAATATGTAAGAAAAGAAAGAATGAAAAAATATAAAATGAATAGAAAGAATGAAAGAATACATAAGAGTAGAAAGAAAGAATGAAAGAATACATAAGAATAGAAAGAATGAAAAATAAATGAATAGAAAGAATGAAAGAATACATAAGAGTAGAAAGAAAGAATGAAAGAATACATAAGAATAGAAAGAATGAAAAAAATATAAATGAATAGAAAGAATGAAAGAATACATAAGAGTAGAAAAAGAAAGAATGAAAGAATACATAAGAATAGAAAGAATGAAAGAATATAAATGAATAGAAAGAATGAAAGAATACATAAGAGTAGAAAGAAAGAATGAAAGAATACATAAGAATAGAAAGAATGAAAGAATATAAATGAATAGAAAGAATGAAAGAATACATAAGAGTAGAAAGAAAGAATGAAAGAATACATAAGAATAGAAAGAATGAAAGAATATAAATGAATAGAGAGAATGAAAGAATACATAAGAGTAGAAAGAAAGAATGAAAGAATATAAATGAATAGAAAGAATGAAAGAATACAAAAGAAATAGAAAGAATGAAATAATATAAATGAATAGAAAGAAAGAATGAAAGAAAGAATAATAAGAATAAAGAAAAGTAAAAAAAAAATAAATGAATAGAAAGAAAGAATGAAAGAATACGTAAGAATAAAGAAAGAATGAAAGAATATAAATGAATAGAAAGAATGAAAGAATACATAAGAATAGAAAGAAAGAATGAAAGAATATAAAAGAATAGAAAGAATGAAAGAATATAAATGAATAGAGAGAATGAAAAATACATAATAGTAGAAAGAAAGAATGAAAGAATATAAAAGAATAGAAAGAATGAAAGAATATATAAGAATAGAAAGAATGAAAGAATATAAATGAATAGAAAGAATGAAAGAATACATAAGAGTAGAAAGAAAGAATGAAAGAATACAAAAGAATAGAAAGAATGAAAGAATATAAAATGAATAGAAAGAATGAAAGAATATAAATGAATAGAAAGAATGAAAGAATACATAAGAATAGAAAGAATGAAAGAATATAAATGAATAGAAAGAATGAAAGAATACATAAGAGTAGAAAGAAAGAATGAAAGAATACATAAGAATAGAAAGAATGAAAGAATATAAATGAATAGAGAGAATGAAAGAATACATAAGAGTAGAAAGAAAGAATGAAAGAATATAAATGAATAGAAAGAATGAAAGAATACATAAGAATAGAAAGAATGAATGAATATAAATGAATAGAAAGAATGAAAGAATACATAAGAGTAGAAAGAAAGTATGAAAAAATACATAATAGTAGAAAGAAAGAATGAAAGAATACGTAAGAATAGAAAGAATGAAAGAATATAAATGAATAGAAAGAATGAAAGAATACATAAGAGTAGAAAGAAAGAATGAAAGAATACATAAGAATAGAAAGAATGAAAGAATATAAATGAATAGAGAGAATGAAAGAATACATAAGAGTAGAAAGAAAGAATGAAAGAATATAAATGAATAGAAAGAATGAAAGAATATAAATGAATAGAAAGAATGAAAGAATACATAAGAGTAGAAAGAAAGAATGAAAAGAATATAAGAATAGAAAGAATGAAAGAATATAAATGAATAGAAAGAATGAAAGAATACATAAGAGTAGAAAGAAAGAATGAAAGAATACATAAGAATAGAAAGAATGAAAGAATATAAATGAATAGAAAGAATGAAAGAATACATAAGAGTAGAAAGAAAAGAATGAAAGAATACATAAGTGTAGAAAGAAAAAGAATGAAAGAATACATAAGAATAGAAAAAGAATGAAAGAATATAAATGAATAGAAAGAATGAAAGAATACATAAGAGTAGAAAAGAAAGAATGAAAAAGAATACATAAGTGTAGAAAGAAAGAATGAAAGAATACATAAGAATAGAAAGAATGAAAGAATATAAATGAATAGAAAGAATGAAAGAATACATAAGAGTAGAAAGAAAGAATGAAAGAATACATAAGAATAGAAAGAATGAAAGAATATAAATGAATAGAAAGAATGAAAGAATACATAAGAGTAGAAAGAAAGAATGAAAGAATACATAAGTGTAGAAAGAAAGAATGAAAGAATACGTAAGAATAGAAAGAATGAAAGAATATAAATGAATAGAAAGAATGAAAGAATACATAAGAGTAGAAAGAAAGAATGAAAGAATATAAATGAATAGAAATAATGAAAGAATACATAAGAGTAGAAAGAAAGAATGAAAGAATACAAAAGAATAGAAAGAAAAAAGTAAGATTAAAGGAAAAGAAATGATATATTTGTTTAAAAAATCACGAAAGAGAATGAATATATTAGGTAGAAAGAAAAAGCAAAAAGAAAAAGAAAGGTAGAAAAAGAAAATGGAAGAAAGAATATAGAAAACAAAATAATTAATTAGAGTGGAAAGAAAGACTGAAACTTTTCTATCAATGTACATGAGTTGTTTGATAGTTTGGGTCTCCTACCGTTGAGCGTCGCTAATAGTAAATGCAGACATACTTTTGAGCTGCTACACAAAAGTATATATATATATATATATATATATATATATATAGCCCTGTTCATGAATGCGTACTGTCAATTACGGTAGTTAATTATATTCGTTATTATATATGAGTTGCGTATAATGCAGCAATCTGTGAGTCATTAGCAGGGACATTCCATCATAAGTATTAGCGATTAATTCATTAAGATATTGTGAAAGATTGCAAGAATTGAAACAATGCATTTTTATAGCAGGAAAAATACTAGGCCGCATTGAAGTCAACAAACGGTGAGAGACCTGAAATTAGCAGGAGTTGTTGCCTGTTTTCAATACTCGGATTTCTGGTTCTAGCCGAAATAGAAGGAGACATTCAATAATCTCCATTATCCATTTGCAGCCGATGTCGAAAACACTGGACGCAATTAAATCAGAAGAGAAACGAAACCTTTTTTTGTCCAAAATGATTTATTCATTTTGGACAAAAAATGTGTAGCCTCGAATTGTGTCAATGTTGAAATGTGACACCATTTGGGAAGCAAAGAAAAGGAAGAAAAGAAGGGAAAGAAATGAAATTTTGATAGTGACAAATGGAGAAATGATTCATTGCCATTGCAGAAAATTCTAAATAGATAAAAATTGACTGTGTCGTGGTGGCGGACTTATATTATCGGGAATAGATAACAGCCATTTGGTGCTGGCGAAAATCTAATTGACAAATTCCGGATCGGCTAACTAAACTCCGGGACAGAATGGATAACAGCCCCTTGGTGCTGGCGAAAATCTAATTGACAAATTCCAGATCGGCTAGCTAAACATTTAACTGTGTCACGGGACTGCCGACCACCCACGAGCTAAAGAAAACAAAGGAAATTAGGTTAAGTCTTTGTCGAGGGAAAGATATCGTTAGACAAGGTCTGTTTTTTGTTAGAAAGGCGATAAGGGCGAAACATTATTATCGGAAAAGTTGGCCGTATTTGCTGGACGACCACCCATTCTGATAATTGGCGAAAATCTGACTGACGAAGTCCAGATGAGAATTGAGGTTATCACACTACTGGTCGCATTGTTCTGTTGGCGGCCAGAGAAGAAGAGAGAAAAGAAAAGAAAGAAAGGAAAAAAAAAAGAAAAAAAAAGGAGATAATTCTTTTTTCTTTGAGCAAGATATTTTTTTTTAAGAAACTAGGCTAGTCTTGTCACGCCCACACTGTTGATCGGCCATTGGATGAATGTTAACAAGAGCCAGGTGGAGGTGATCATGTGATGCAGGGGAGGAGGCCTGCCACTACTCCTTCAAGAGGATAGGTATAAGATGTTACTGCGAAGAAGTGGGAGGATCGTTGACGCCCTCTGAAGGTAGGGGTAAGAGAAGACTTCCAAAAATGGAAATAATAGATTTTTCCTGACCGAAAACAAAAGAGGGGATTGTGGATTTGGAATTATCAAGGAACATCAAACCCCAACAAAGCCCACCCCGGTTTTGGTCGGCGTCCATATAAGCAAAGTCGCAGCAAGCGAAAATCAGAGTTTCCCAGAGAGTTTCCCAGAGAGTTTCCCAGTTCAGTCCAGTTCGGATCAACTTCCAGTTCGCAGTTGATGTGGGTCCCGCCTCGCATCAGCTGACTTGAAAGATTCGCGCAACTTCCGAACTCACCTTCAATCCAAGAACAATTTATTTTTGAAGAGCGACTTAGATTCATACCACCAAAATAAGTTTTACGACTATCGCCTGAAGACACACCAAGAACCAATTTCTTAAAGAACAGACAACTTAAGATGTTAAAACTCACCTAACAAAAACAACGTGTCACAATCCATATAGCGGATCGGGAGATAGACGCAGTCCTATGTATCCAGCAACCAGATATAAAAGTATTATTATCCTTTTTTGATACCTTGAACTTTTGAGTTATTATTTTATTTTCTTTTACACATATTTGTGCGATACCACCTTCATTTGAACTCAACTTGCATTACGGCCCAAACGACTGGTTGATTTTGTCTGCCTAAGATCAATTCACAACGTGGGTAGGCGGACTGGAGATCAACGCAGTTACTTCGGTAAATTGACTTTGTTTTAGTCCCAGTTTCACCATTCTATTTCCTCTAAAATTTGCTATATAGCATTTGGGACTGCACTTACCATTACTCCTAATAAGATTGAAGAGAAATAAATTGACTTAATTTTGTTAGCTGTATATTTATCTAAACTAAAACATTTTTTTTTATCAGAATGAAGACATTACTTATCAATCAATTTTCATAATTTTGAAGAGAAGGGTATTTCTTTCATTTTTATACCGGTTTCATTGTCTAACCAGGCTTAAATGTTGTTTTTTTGGAATGGAGACCTTATCAAGTAATCAATAATTTTTAAGAGAAATAAATAAAGAAAGAAATAAAGAAAGAAAGAAGAGGAATAAAAAAGAAAAATACGTAAGAGTAGAAAGAATAAAGAAAAAGAAATAATATATCACTGATTAGTATAAAAAAAATCTTTTGATACGGATTTCTATACAGGAATCCCTCGAGTAGTGCGGACAATCTACGCACAAATCGAAAACGCAATAATCAAATATAATAACTAATAGAAAATGATGTAATTTGGACCTCAAATTTTAGTCTCATTCACAATTAATTTCTAATTTGCTAACTTTTAATTAAAATATAAATATATATAAGGAGATACAATGAAATGTTACGAATTAATGTTAATTTGATTTTTTATGAAAAATCATTTAGAGTGGTTTGAAGCTTGTTATTTTTCTGTTCTTAATATAATTGGCGGTACTGAGGAGTTGCCCCCACCCCACCTTCAAATTTTCAAAACATATCATCATCATTAAAATCGTTAAAATAACCGGAAAATTTTTATTTATCTTCTTTCCATAGTAAATGCATACGTCTTTTATATTTAGATTTATTTTAATAAATGTAAACTTTTAACAAAAAATCAGAAATTTCCTTTTTGAGATCATCAAAATAAACATGAAAAAAATCAAAATATTCAAAAAACTGGAGTTATTTCTTTTACGCTTTGTTACCTCTCTTTTACATTGTTGTTTTTAGATCGCTTTCTTCCGGTCATTTTGATGGGCAATATTAAAATTCTGAAATTTAGAATGATCTTATTCGATTTCAAAAATAAAGCCTGTGAAAAAGGAATATTTTAAATTAATATACGACTGTAATGAAAACTCGAGGTCTAGTTCGGCTTAATGTGACTTTATTGAACGTAACTGAAGAGTCTTTCCGTTTGGGCTAAGATGGCGTGAATTATACAAACCATGAGACAGGGGAGGTAACCGGGTTGCCTTAGCACAATTTCCCCGGCTTTGTTTTCTCCTAGTCCGACACAAAATCATCCAGGTGACTGGGTCTTTTAACATTTTTTCTGGGATCGTCTCGGTGGCAGCTGATTTGGGCTTTTAGGTCTTACGGAAACAGTTGGCCAGAAGTATTACCTCTCATATTGTTTTTGTTTCCTTCTTGGAGTGCGATGCTCTGATTCTGAAAGCTGGTTATCATAGTCTGTGGTAGTATGCTCCGGTTTTGAGGGAGCTTTTTCTGGTTTTGATCTCTGAATCATTATTATCGGGGCGTTGTTCCTCAGGAAAATCCAATGACATTGTGTCGTCGTTGCTATCAGTAGGGAGAGATATTGCTTCAGGAGAGAGCAGCTCTTCATTCTTGTTTGATAACTTGCCGCCGGCATTGGCCAAATATCTTAGAAAAAACGTTCGATTGTCATCCATCGGGGTGCTGGATGCGCGCATAGAGTGGGTTCGGCTCGAGCAGTTCTATCTTATTCACAGGAGAATCATAGTTGCTTTGCCGAATATGGTTTCTAGGTAAAACAGTATCTGGCCGCGAGAGCTACGAATGGAGGGAGATCCCGGTCGAACTTCGCCTTGGAAATTTAAAAAAAAACTTTCGTTAGATATTGCATTAGTTCTTGTACACAATAGTGTTCTCATGTTGTATAGAGCCTCGGTTATTACGTCTTCCCAATGTCTAATTGGAGATTTTTGGTTTTCAAGTGCTAACCCTACGATCTTCCATATATCTCTCGCACTGGGCACCTCGGCGTGGTATAATGGTTAGCAAGCTTGTCTCGCTAGATCAGTTACGACTGAAAAGTGAGTTCGATCCTCACTGGGTGCTCCATACTTTCGGCCTTGTGCCACATCTAAGCTACGCTTAGAAAATATATCTTTTGCACTGTTCATTCTCTTGAAGATTATATGGGGTAATCCGGCATACGGCAACTCCCTATAACAATAGGAATCTTCTTAGTTGATCGGGCATAAAAGAGGTCCTGCGATCTGTATGAATATAAACGGGTGATCTATATACTGAGAACAGTGAGCACAGATAGCGTATGGCCGTTGTCGCACTTACATCTGGACAGTGAAAGGCAAAAAGGAATCACGAGTATTCGTCAACGACAGATAGTAGATATTTTTTCGGGGTTAAGGTGTAAGAGGGCCCTTAAATTCCACGCTCGGACTCTCAAATGGCTGTGTAGCTTTTGCTAGGGTTCCTGGTTCGGGTTTGTCGAACGTTGGTTTTATTCGACCGCAAATCTGAGAACCGTTTGTTATTCGTTTCACGTCCTCAATTGAAACAGACAAATTCCGTCTTCGAACCACATGCATCATCCTCGTGATGCCCGGATGATAAGGACCGTTATGAACTTTTTGTAGATCTTTGGTGCTGTTTATTGATCCACAAATTCTTGATAGCGCGT